CGGGTCTAGATCACTCCTTTTGCTCCTCTTGAACTTCTAATGAACCCCAAATGTCTCCAAAGCTTCCATGTGAAACTCCAATACCTAAAGGGGACTCATGTATGCAAAATGCAACCTAAACATGGCTAGAACCTAACCTACATGATGAAAAGATATGCAAAAGAGTAGATAAAACAATGCAATAATGCAAGACATCAGAGGCCTACACCTGAGTCAACGAAAATACATTCTAGACCTTCTCCATAAATATGAGATGCTGAATGCCAAGCCGGTCACAACTCCTATGGCGTCCTCTCCTCGTCTTCATCTTCACTCTGGTACAACACTTTCTGATCCATCGAAATTCAGACAACTTATAGGGAGTTTGCAATATCTTCAGTTTACAAGACTTGACATTGCGTATGCGGTAAACAAGCTCTCACAATTCATGCATTCTCCCACTGAGGATCATTGGCAAGCTGCCAAACGTATTCTCCGATATCTCGCGGGAACGCCAGCACATGGGATCTTCTTCTCTGCGACTAACAAACTAGTTCTACATGGCTATTCAGATGCGGATTGGGCTGGTGACTCTGATGATTTTGTTTCCACCAACTCCTACATCATTTATCTTGGTAATCATCCCATATCTTGGACCTCTAAGAAACAGAAAGGAGTAGCAAGATCATCCACAGAAGCGGAATACAGAGCAGTGGCGAATGCTGCCTCAGAAATTAGCTGGATTTGTACTCTCCTCATGGAACTTGGGATCACGTTACCATCTTCACCTTTGCTCTACTGTGACAATGTAGGAGCCACATTCCTGTGTGCCAACCCTGTCTTCCATTCCAGGATGAAGCACATAGCGATTGACTATCATTTTGTTAGAGGTCAAGTCCAACGAGGTGCACTCAAAGTAGCTCATGTCAACACCAGAGATCAACTTGCAGACGCATTGACAAAGCCTCTGTCACGAGCTCGGTTTCTGGAACTTAGACACAAGATTGGAGTTACTTCGGACACTCCATCTTGAGGGAGCGTGTTAGTGATACAATAAAGATCTTCGTATATTCTGCATTGATAACGCAATCTCTCTCTTTTAGGAAGTTACTGTTATTAGCTAAAGCTCTAGCTCTTGTATATAAGCAACAATGTATTGTACAGAATGATGATCAATCAATATACTCTTTACCTTACAAAACATACTCACAAGATTACCAGTGGGAAGTATCACTAGATTCAAGCTTGTGTGTAAGGCATGGAGATCGGTCATAGAATCTGATTTCTTCCGCCACCTCCTCCACAAAATTAACACCAATTCAACCTCTCCTTATTGGTCGATCCTACGCACAGATGCATGGCTATACGACTCCCGTTCCCGTGTGGACGACGAATTGGAACTTAATTTTCCACATGAATCGCATGGTAACAACTGGTGTTTTAAAAGCATCCGACATCCCATTGATGCCGACGAAAGTAAGATAAGGGTTGTTTCGTGCGCTGATGGGTTGGTTTTACTGTGTCACGAGAGCAGCAGCAGCAACGAGAGCATACGACGTTACTACATTGGTAATCCATTGTTATCACAATGGACTCTACTCCCTTCTCCTCCAATTTTGCCGGGAAATCATTACAACGACTCGGGACTTGTGACACGAATGCACGATGGTGTCATATTGGGCTACAAGGTTGTTCGGCTTTATGACAATATACAAAACACTGATCATGATGATCATAGTCTTCGAACCTTAGGTTTTGAGATCTACTCGTCAGATACCGGTGAATGGAGTTACAAACAGGTCTCATGCCCTGGTGGTAACGGAAAACTGGTGATGGAATGCTTTCCCATTACTTTGAATGGGAAACTCTACTGGCATGCTGAAGGCATGGACGGCATTGTTGTCTATGATTTCTTCTCCGATGATGATAATGATGATCAAGCTAGGTCCATAAGGTTACCAGACAGAATGCAAAGATTTCATCCTCATCATTCTGACTCTTCAAGGTGTTTTGCATTGTGCCCATGTCAATGCTATAAGATGATATGCACCACCTCTCAAGGATTTTTCGTGTTTGTCGAAGCTGGGCGGATGACGGGCAAGGAGGAGAGTTACAATGTCAAGGTTTGGCGGCTGATCAAGAGTGATCATCATTCTTGGGTATGGGAAAAGGCTTGGGAAATCAACATGGCGTCTGTCGGGATTGGTTTTGAGTCTGTTCCAATGGCCATCAATAACTTCGATGTAGACATCATCTACCTATGGAGCATACAACACAGACGTTACATTGCATTTAATGTTCGGACACAAACAAAATATCTTGGCCCTAGCAACCATGATGATACCCACAACAGGAGGTGCTTAAATGCGTGCTTTTACCCACGTAATACTCTTACGCAATTTGTGCTTTCCTTGCAAGAGGTCCCCAAGATGTTTAGCAAATGATACATATAGTTTTTTTGTTCATGTCGTTTTGGATTATAGTTTTTCTCTTTTTTTTTTTTTTTTTTTTTTTTTTTTTTTTTTTTTTTAATTTGCTTGTGTGGAACTTGAAGACACTTTTGTAACCATTTTAATACAAAGATTGAGAATAAGATTAGGCAAATATAAACTTGACCGATTGAGTTTGTGGAAACTGTACAGAGAGATCTTTACTACAAAGCATGATATTAATTAACAAAGAAGAGAAGAAGCCTGCACTAATCCCTCAAACTATTTACAATTGATACAAGGCCTCTCTATTGGGTTTATTGATCTTTAGCTTTCCTATCTCTTCTGGAAGACAACTCAAGTTAACACACTGTGAGATGTTTAGGTACTTAAGCTTAGGAAGCTCACAGATCTCCACAGGCAATGACTTCAGCTCGAGACAAGCATATAGCCTCAGAATTTCAGGAGCGTGTAGCTTACTTAGGTTCTTAGGCAACTCACTGAGGTGTGGGCATTTTTGAAAAGATGACTACCCAAAACTTGATGTGAATAGGTTCGATGGAACCAGAAACTTGTTGTTATGGAAAGTGTGCATGATAACATAAGAACGCTGGTGGGTCACTGTTTATGCTTTTGCCTTGTCCAAAGGGTCATATCATAGCTTTGTTCTTGTGTTGTGATTATATATCTTATGTTATTTCTTTTGGATATGGAAATAAAAATAACAACCGTAAATAGTAATTCACTCTTTTCTTTTGGTAGGTTAAACAGTTATGGATGCAAAGATGAAAAATGGAAATATATCATGAAACATCGACAGAGTTGAGGGCTAACCACAAAGCTGAAAACCCCAAAAGGTTACACACATTTTGCAAAATCAAAAGTTGATGAGAACGCTGCTGATGAAAGTATAAGCAGGTAGTTTAATCGGTGAGGCTTTCCACTCGACCGCATCCTCTTTATCAAAGTCGTCACTGCATATGCCCTCACCATCCTGTGAAACCAGGAAAACCTTATTGTTCAATTTCCCTAGTATGAACCTGAAACCACTCTCATGATCACTGAACTGAGGCAGAAACACAAAGCTCCAAGAATTCTTCTCTGGATCAAACACTACCATTCCCCGATAATTGTAACAGTCGAAGAAACACACTTTGTTTCTAATAACAGTGTAAGAGTATGCCTTTATTGAATACCCCGAGTCAAACTCCTCCCATGTCTCCGTTTTGGGGTCATATATGTAAATGAAACTCGATTTATAGTCTGAAAAAGATGATCATTATCAAGTATTGTAAGCAAAATTTTAACTTGGAATCTCTCTATATTAATTATAATCGCTCTTTACAATTCTCACCTGCAACGAAGAGTTTGGATTTGAAGGAGAAGGCGAAGGCACAATAAGAGGTAGGGCGGTATGGAAAATCCATGAGGCTCCATTTGTTAGTTTTCGGGTTGTATACTTCCAGGTTGAAAAGGTAATCACCATATGAGGTAAGGCCTCGGATCACATACAAAAGGCCGTCCACAACAGCATATTCAAATCCGTAACGCGGTATGTTCATGTCTGCCAGTTTTCTCCACCAGTTTTTTTATTAATTTTTTCATCAAACCACTAGGAAAAGAAACCCTAATTAATTAATGTCACAAATTGATAAGAGAGAGTTTCAGACCTGTTAGTACAAGGATTGAACTCGTACACATAAGGCAAAGCCTTCATCTCAGATCTTCCTTTATAATAAATTGCACCGATGACAACGATCTTTCCGCCATCGAGCATCGCAAGGCGGGAATCTCTCTTCAAAGGCCCAGGGATGGGAGGGATCCCTCCCAGTTTGTTACCGGAGCCATCAAAAACTTCCCAGTACTGGTGATCCATTAGAACACACATTAACTCTTCCACCGAACCCGTCAACTTTCGAACGGCTCCGTAACGCTCGCTCCAAAGGAATCTTCTCCATCCCCAGCACACCTGACAAATGATCCGAAAGCTAGAGCGTGGGACTCGCGACAGGCACAGCTCTGCTACGTCGTCCACCAACCCGGGTATTAACGTCTCCACCATTCTTACGTTCTTTTGTCCTTCTTGGTTCAAAGCTTGCATATAAATAAGAGAGATCAATCACCACTTTGCATTTTGCATTCCCTTAACTGATTTTACATATTTTACTAAAATTTTGGTTACTATCTCTATTAAATTTTAAAGGATTTCCGAGTCTACTAGTGTTACTACTTACTTATAATATCTTTATTACAAGTATATTTTTTTCTCTTTTTCTGTTTCACAAAAATTGTCATTGGACAAGTTTTCACATGTGTTCAGAAAATCTTTTAAATTTTGTATTTACCTTATTTTTCTCTCTAATTAATATATTAATACAACAGGGACAAAACTGAAATTTTATTTAGAATTCTGCATTAAAATACAAAACAATTTTTAATGAAAAAAAAGAGAATTTTTAAATAACACTTTTCATGAAGTGGAGGGAGTATTATTTAATTAATCATTTGAATACCATATTTACAGTTTTACATTTGATAGATTCTATAACTCATTTGACTTAAAAAATTCAAGAAATTTGAATCTAATTTCCTGTATAAACTATGGAATTCAAAATCTAAATATTTTATTCTTAATTTTTGTATCATTTTTTGTTAATCAAAAACATCCAATTTACTACTACTACTATTAAAGCCATTGTAAGCCAGATTTATTACTCCCTCTGTTTCAATATAAGTGTTACTCTACAGCTATGCACACGAATTAAGGAAACAATTAATTTTACATATTTCCTATATAAAAACACAATTACCCATACACCTAACCATATTTTAACCAATAGAAAAACAAATTACATAATAAAATTAATAAATTTTACATTGAAAACCGAAAATGACACTTATTTTGTAACACAAAAAATTCTCTACAATGACACTTAATATAAAACGGAGGGAGTACTTCTTTAACCAAATAATTTTCCAATAATATGGATCTTTCTAGTAAAAAAAATCCATATTTATCATTAACTAAAATTTAATGTTAAACTTAAGTTTAATAATAAGTTTTTAAAAAAAAATTAATTGCGTATTTTCTTATACTTATGGGTTTAAGAATAGGAGGAGTACGTTTTAATTTAAATGATTAAACAATTAATACAAATTTAATAAAATGGAACATTAAAGTTGAAAAACTGAAAAATACACTATATCTGCGCGTTTACACGCGGGATTGTTTTCTAAAAGGTAAGTAAATAAGTAAATTAACAATTAAAGTAAAAAAAAATTACTTGTATCATTTATTTTAAGGGTACTCCTACAGTAATACAAAGAAAAAATTAGCTTTTTTAAAATCAGATAAAAAATATTAATTTAACAGTAATATTTCACCTCGTTCGTTATAAAACATTGGTAACATTCGCTCTTCACTATTAAATGGACTTAAACCATTATTTAAGATAAAACTGTTGGAATTAGTTTTCTGAAGCCCTTGCATATTGTGTAATTTAACTTTTCCAAAATCATAATGAAAATTAGAAGTTGTATTTAATATTCTTTTTTTTATCAAATTGTATTTAATATTCAAACTAACAATATTTTAGAAAGAAAATATATAGATTTCTAAATCTATATTATAATGATTCAGTTTAAAAGCTCCTTAAGTGTCCACATAGGCAGATTGTGGGTCCCACATTTTTATATTAAATAGATAGTTGTTTTAAAATGGCTACAAACAAAGAATATCAGTTTAGCCAAATGGTCTAAGACCCCATGTTTGGTCTCCAAGGACATGGGTTCAATTCCCACTGCTCTCATGCATAAACCAATTAATGTCATCATCATAAAAATATTTTTTAAACACACATAGTCTTGGTAAGATATTTACAAACAATGAAATACACTTTAGGCAAGTGGTACAAGGTGTCTAATTAAGTATGCAAGATTGTGGGTTCAAACCACGCAGCTATCATGTATTTTTGATTTTTTTATTTAGGTTATTATCATATGGGCTTTTTGTTTATAAGGTTCTTATGTTTTTTTGGGCTTATTGTTTTAAAGATCAAAATAGTTGTATAAACCCTAAACCTTAATAAGTTCAAACCCAAAATAATTAAAAATGAATTCAAAACGAATAATAAAACAAAAAACAAAAAAAAACAAGTCTCACGTGGTTGCCTACGCGGTTAAAACTATCCTATTATAATATAGCTCAACCCAAAATTAATAAAAACTAAATCCAAAAACGAACAGACAAAAAAAACAAAAAAAAAGGTGAATTCTACGCGGGTGCATACGTGGATGGCTTAATGAGGGTTGAATAATATAGATTAGGAGCTCAAAAAGTTAAATCATTGCACATATTTCCTAATATATATTTTCAAAAATTTTGTATGTGAGATAAAATAAAATAAAACAACAAAAATTAATTATTTTCGTTATTATTAAATGACTATATAATTTCTCTTACATTTTAATAACTACTATAATTTCCTTGAAAACATTCCTCACCACCGATTTCAGACTCCGACGAATGGATTCCCACAGTCGATGACGCCGTAGATAAAAATGCCACATCATTTATGAACAAAACTCAAACTTACAAAAAACCATATATTAAAGCCTATCTAATTAAGTCATCATCATAAAAATATTTAAGCCTATCTCATGCATAAACCAATTAATGTCATCATCATAAAAATATTTTTTAAACACACATAGTCTTGGTAAGATGTTTACAAACAATGAAATACACTTTAGGCAAGTGGTATAAGGTGTCTAATTAAGTATGCAAGATTGTGGGTTCAAACCACACAGCTATCATATATTTTTGATTTTTTTTTATTTAGGTTATTATCATATGGGCTTTTTGTTTATAAGGTTCTTATGTTTTTTTTTTGGGCTTATTGTTTTAAAGATCAAAATAGTTGTATAAACCCTAAACCTTAATAAGTTCAAACCCAAAATAGTTAAAAATGAATCCAAAACGAATAATAAAACAAAAAACAAAAAAAACAAGTCTCACGTGGTTGCTTACGCGGTTAAAACTATCCTATTATAATATAGCTCAACCCAAAAATAATAAAAAAGAAATCCAAAAACGAATAGACAAAAAAAAACAAAAAAAAAAGTGAATTCCACGCGGGTGCATACATGGATGTCTTAATGAGGGTTGAATAATATAGATTAGGAGCTCAAAAAGTTAAATCATTGCACATATTTCCTAATATATATTTTCAAAAAATTTGTATGTGAGATGAAATAAAATAAAACAACAAAAATTAATTATTTTCGTTATTATTAAATGAATATATAATTTCTCTTACATTTTAATAACTACTATAATTTCCTTGAAAACATTCCTCACCACCGATTCCAGACTCCGACGAATGGATCCCCACAGTCGATGACGCCGTAGATAAAAATGACACATCATTTATGAACAAAACTCAAACTTACAAAAAACCATATACAAAAGCCTATCTAATGAACCTTAAACAACGAATATTAACTTAATTAAGGTTATTTTCAAATTGATAAATCTTTTAATACAAATATAAATACTATAAATATAGAATTATATCAAGTTTTGATCTACGATATAAAAACTATTTACAACAAAACAAATACACCTACTTTTACACACTAAAAAATATATTATAGCCTAACTATTCCTATAAACCTTACTTCGCATATAAATAACATTTAACACATTTCTA